CCCCCCGGCTTTATCCCCCCCCCCCGAGCCTCTGCTTTTCCCCGTGACCCTTTTTCGTAGAATACTGAGCTGGAAGGGACCTCCAGGATCGTCTGGTCCAACCTTTCTTGGCAAAAGCATGGCCTAGACCAGATGGCCCAGCACCCTGCCCAGCTGAATCTTAAAGGTTTTCAGTGTTGGGGAATCCACCACTTCCCTGGGGACGTTATTCTAACGGGTGATTGTTCTCCTTGTGAAAAATTTTCCTCTTGTGTCCAATTGGAACCTCCCCAGGAGTAACTTGTACCCATTGTGGCTCCTTATACCCTTGTAAAAAAAAGGAGTCTCCATCTTCTTTGTAGCCACCCTTTAAATACTGGAACATGGCGATAAGGTCTCCCCTAAGCCTTCTTTTCTCCAGACTGAACAAACCCAGCTCTTGTTTGCTCTTGGCAGTGGTTTGTGGGGACGTAACCCGATTGTCAGTGGGACTGTAGGCTCCAAAATCATTTGTACCTTCCCCTCCATAAAGCTCAGTAATCCCCTTCTCAGCCTCTCCCCCACCCTTCGCCCTCCCATCCGTGGGGAAACGTGGTACCTTGGGCCCCCCGCGGGTTTGGTGACACGAGGCCGGTGTCCCCAAAGGGGGGTGGCCACGTGCGTGGGGAGAGGAGCGCAGCCGCGCTCTCCTCTGCCGGCTCAATTAGCAGCGGCTGGTTTTGCACCGAAAGCGGTGACTCAGGTCGCTTCCAGCGAGCCAGCGCACAACGTCTGCCTGTTGTAACCACGGTGCGATGCATCTGCTGGTGCTGGGCACGGGGCGAGGGGCCAGGGCGACCCTTGGGCTGGGCATCGTGCACTCTGAGGTGTGAGAAGGCTCCGTCTGCCACCCCAGGGCTGTCCCCGGGCAGTTGATCATCGTACCAAAGGGCACAGAGAAGAGCAGAGGGCCCGAGGGCTTTGTGCTTCCCCTTTAGCAGGCACGTTTTGTTTCACCCCCGTCTCGTGCCCTTGCCGTTGCAACGGGGCTGTGGGAGCGCTAAGCTGACAAAAGGACCGTGCTCTGAGGACTGCGGGGTTTGTGGTCATTGGGGTATCCAAAACACGATTTCTGAAGCTTCGTTTCCCTGCTGAAGATGTTGCTATTGCTCCTCCAGTGTTTCGCCTCTGCTCCATGGGGCTGAGCAGCGTCTTCAGTGTTTTATGAGCCCTAGCTCGAAGGCCAAGGAGCCTAACGGAGCTGCTTCGCTGTGGGCCGCTTTAAAGCTCTGTTCTCTCTGCAGAGCCCAGATCTCAGCGGTGAACTGCGGGGACACGGCCTTGAGCCAAGGGTCCCTGCAGACAGAGATGAAGTAGCTAAGGCAGGACGGCCAGAAATGGTAAATGCCAGCTCAGGGTGAGGTGTAAAGCCCACAGCGCTGAGCAGACAAGCTGGCTCCATCCTGGGAAGCCTTAAGGTCGTGCCAGTGGCACCCTGCTCCCTGCGAGGTGGCCGCGGTGAAGCGCCGTGCGGGCACACAGGCACCTCGCTGGGGCTTTGAGTCGCCGGCTGTGGGTACACCTCTGCCTCTGGGGCTGGGGAATCCTCGCAGCCCCGGGTATCCAGGCTGCTCCAAACAACTGCACTGTTGGTGGCATTTCTGGGAGAAGGAGTGTGAATGACCCTGCCCTGAGTGCCTGAGAATTAGGACACCATCGTCAGCACCCCACTGCTGCTCTGGGCCTCGCGTGGGGCGGGCCTGGGATACCCACAGCCGGCCTCCAGCTGCTCTTTGCTGCTTTGCAGATGTTAATATTCGCCCAAGAAAACACGGGTGGTTCTGGGGTACTAATGGGCTCTGCTGGGCTTTATGGCATGCTGTGGGGTGCACGTGTTTTTGAGGGTGAATCTTGCGGTCTTTACATCTGAGGCCAGACACACTCCAGCGCTTTGCTCTCCGCAGCCAGACTGAGGCTGTTTCACAAAGTGTCAGGAGTTTTGTTAACTTAAACACATAATCTGTATTAAAGAGGTGTGCTGAAACAGGATATAAACTGCTCCATTAAGTGCAGCAAACTTCCTTGGGGGAAGGAAGGGATTTTCCTGCTCTGCTTTGCTGCGGAACCCGACTGGCCAGTCAGCTGTTTTATTGTGGAGACGAGACTGGCTTGTCTGGTTCACAGTGGCAAGCTCAATACCGTGACCGGAGTGTTCATCAGCAAACCGGACAGGCGTCCTGCGTCTGAAGGTGCCTTCGTACTCCCTGCGATTAAACCGTTGGGTCAGGGCTTAGACTTAATGCTGTCTCGTACGCTTAGCTGCTGCATCTCTGCTAAGCTTTTTTAATTGAATGGCGGGCAAGATCCATAGCACCAGCCCTGAGCCTCTACTTGACCATCAAGGGAGGAGGCGATCTGTCATTTTAAGAAATCAATGCGTCTTCTCAAGGTGGCGGAGCTTACCATTTCATTTCACAACTGCCAAGAGATTAACTATACAACTGTCAGGTGTGATTCTCTAAAAGACAAGGAAGATCACAAATGGGAGTGCAAGAAGGTTGAGAGCCTCGCTGGGGGCGGGGAGGGCTGGCAGAGCTCGGTGTCTGGTAATAACACCGAGTTTCTGCAGGAAATACGTGTTTGCGCCGATGTGCTGGATCCCAATGCTGTCGTTCGGGCTGTGTGTGCTGGGAACCGGCCCTG